CTAATTGTAACGGCTTGTGAGCCGATTGTTGTGTGGCACGTGATTGTATTCACGTGCTTCTTTGATTCTAAAGTAGTCTAGCTTTATTCCAGATCAGTTCAGCTGTAACTGGAATATTTTAGTAATTGGTAGCAAGATTGGGAACTACTATGACTGGATGTCACGGTCTCAGTACAAAATGCTTGGGCGATCTTGTAAGTACAGTATATTAATTATAATTCTTTGGAGAATGAATTCCCCAATGTAAAGTCTACATATATATACATTCTAAATTACTGCCCTTCAAGATGATTCTCCCTGTGACCTGAATAATTGAGACGCTTCTATAACTATCTAGAAGGTTCTCGGTACACCTATTATCCTCATGAAACTTCAGTGTGTTTCCAGAAGGTTCACTGAGAATATTCGAAGTTCTGTGGCTTCCGAGACCTTCCCCTTGTGCCATAGCCTGCGCTAGCCAGCGTAGGCTACAGGAGTCTTTCGGCTTAATAGCCGTCACACTGGAATATACGAGAAGTAGATATCAGTCAAGAACGAGTATTCTAGATATCTTCATAGATGTATGATTAGTTGAAGTAATACTCTGATAGTTAGCCACAGAGAAAATTATAAACTACCTTCGTATATCTGATTGCTCCTGCATTGACACTCGAACCGTGACACGAATATTTATATAAGAGGAAACCTTATTGGTAAAAACCCCCCCAACTTTTCAATTTATATACACTTTAAGTTTGTGTTACCTTCACGAAGTGCACTAATACTGTTATATCCAGTGCGGATACCGTCCACTTCATTGCTACTGGCAGGGGATCATCATTCCCCTGCTCTCCCCTCTCTCCCTCATCGTGGTCTCGACTTCAAGCGTCAGTCGAAACTGCTCTAGCCTTCCTTCCTTTTGTTTCCACTTTATAATTCTAGCTATATCTTTCGGGGTATTCAGTATCGCTTCGAATGACCGATTCTCTGCCTTTCTCAGTATCTCCCCTCTCCCTATAGCCCAGTCGGGACAGGCCATGATCATGTGCTTGACTTTCTGGGACGGATATCCACATTGGAATCGTGGGCTGTCTACTCCGGGAACATATCTTCTGTGCAGGTAAGAATTGAACCCATTGTCCTCACTCCTTAACTGCATGGCTATGCTACTTTGGGTTGTTGTTGTTATTGTATTTTTAAAGTCCTGAGCTAAAGTAAAAAGCTATACATCCTACTATTGGTACAGGACCGGTGGAGCCCGTAAGGATAACTGTGTACAGGCCCAACTCATTCCAGCCGCATAAACTTCCACACAAATAGTGGTGTTAACAGCAAATCAAAAATCAAAAACATAAATCAAAACCTAAAATCAAAACCAAAAATCAAATTCAGAAGAAATCCCTGTAGGTCCGGATCCCGCGCTTCTCGCCCGTTCCCTTTCTTCTCATATCTTCCAAGTGACACTTTCTGACCTTCGCTAAGAGCAGAAGATGAGCTCGTAGGCACCATTTTTCTATCTGGTGTTCTACTGTTAGTGTTTTGAAGCCTCGACGACTTCACTGAGGATGGTCGTAACCTTAAACCTCCTCTTCGGATCCCAGAATCCCAAACCCCGATCTGTCTGACATGTAGACGTTGTTCTTCGTGCCGTGAATCTCCTGGATGGCTATTTCGGCTGCAGCTCTGATGCGAGTAAAATCTGCGAGATTTTTCTGCTCGACCGTGCAAATCATCGCAAGCTTCTTTTTTTTCACCGGGCCGAACTTGCTGGGTCTGGCTTTACAGAACCGCGAATCCGATCGGTGAGGTCCCCCACAATTTTGACACCGTGTGGGGGCTTTGCACTCCGTTTCAGAATGCATTTTTGATCCTTTGTTCCAGCAAGCCGGAGCGAGGGAGCAACCGCGTGAGGCATGGAAGTCAAGACATCAATTGCACTGAACTATTTTTCAACGAGGTTGGAAGAGCTTTGCAGCTCCAGAGCTATCGAAGAGGCGAAATCCATGTCGGGGCGTGGATTCGCGAAGGAAGAGCGCTTGCCAATTCTGGTATGGCGCCCCGGGTTTGCTGGTCCTATGGGGACGAACAAGAAAAGGAACTGATTTGGTCACTCGCGTGAATTCGTCGGCGACTATCTTCTCCGTGATGAAAACGGAACCTGTGAGTGTATTAATTCTCAGTGGGACGGTGGCAATTGGTAGGGCAACCAGATTTGACACTGGTTCCAGTTTGATTCCAGATTCGCTTCGTTCTACGGAGGAATCAAGGAGCTCTTTCCGAGCGAGTTCATCCTTTGCTGTTAGAACAAAGCCTGTTTTGACCCGCTGAACCAACGTGATGTTGTTAGCCGCGGTACCGAGTGACTCTGAGACAGCTGATCTTATGCCAGCTGGTGCGAGGAGTCGGTGGGGGTGGTCGTAATCGAGGCGTAGAAACAGTCGCGTATCGACCGCTGTCCTCGTATTGGCTCCCTGTTGGAAAATATACTCTGTTCGATATTATATGGATAAATATGATGAAGTAAAGAACACTTGATATTTTACAAATATGTGAACATTGGACTTAAATATATACATCTTAGGGGAGAAATTCCCACTAGTCTCATGTGCCTCTCAAAACTAGTGATGACTAGCCACCTCTCATCTACCATGATGAGCCAAGATACACTGTACTACGTAAATATCCAAACGTTATGCAATAGTAGGCGCGATTAGCGCACTCGTGACATGTGTAGAGAGAGACGATCTTGACGGGAACCTGAGACGAAACAGGTAGTGGTTGAGTCCTAAATTCGAGAGTTAGAATTTCCAACACTCCCTTTGCTTTTGGGGCGGGCGGGGCTGCCTTTGTTGTTGATGGCTGTTTGGATTAGGTTGTAGTTGGCAATTCCTAACCTAATTGTGTTAGATTGCAGGCTTCTGTCTTAGGTACTCATGGGCTCGTAATTAAGGTTATTCTAAAGGTTTAGCTCCGGTCATCTCATTGATTACTGAGCCGGCAGCATATCAAGGAGGCATGTAGCTCAGGTGGAAGTGTCGCATGGTAAACTATATCTGAAGCTGCTACGTATTGTAGTAGCTAAAAGAATACTGCTATTCGGAAACTACAGCTCCGTCCCAGAACCATGAGATAAATCAGGCAATGCACGCTAGATATAGAATGGCTAGCGGATATGGTGAATATGGGGGTAAATACGTAGATATAAAGAAATTTGTTAAAGTATCAGTCACTGAGCCTTAGAAGGCATGTGACTTGGTATGTAAGCTGGGCTAAACTAGGGTCTATAGAATGTATCGTAAATGTAAAACTCAGTAGTCAGTACAATAATATTCGCAATAAGCTTTAGGCATTTACCAGCAGTACAGTTTTCTAACCATATCTTCCTTCAATAACATTGTAGCCTCTAAATTGTGGGAAAGGTCTTCAACCAAATTATATCGGAATCAATCCTAGCCTCTCGTTAAGCAATCTCATGAATCTATTTCCGTGTCTGTGATAACACACCAATATACAAAGTCGACGATCAAATACAAAGTCGATTAATGGCCCAGTGCTGTGGCAAAGGCCTGCTCGGGCTAAATTCGCCCAAGTTGTCTTTTGGGCCGGAGCCTGGGTTGTCGAAGGGTTAGGTATTCTTTTTTCATGAGCCCTCGGCGGATGAGGGTTGCTGGGGCGCACAGGGAGAGCTGGTGGAGTGCTCCCTGGGCCTAATTGTATGAACTGGCCAATGGCCGCTCGAAGGTAGACTTTAATACCGTCTACAAACTCCTTTTCGTCGCCAATCGAGAGAGGCGAAAGTGCTGCTTCAACACTGCTTATTGCGGTGGAATAGATTGATAGACGTGCTTTTATTTGCGTCGTGCGACGCTTCTCGGCTTCCATCACTGATTGCAGCTCCGGAGTATATTCCGGTGCTGATGTCGAAGCTGTGACTTTTGGAGCTGGCACAGTTAGTTTTCTTGCGGAAGTTTCTACTTGTTCTATAGTCTTCTCTCGGACGACTTCCTTTCCTTTCCTTTCTTTTCCTTGAAGTGCTTGCCTCCGGGGCAAGCTCGATGGGAATGTTGGTCTTGGGACCAATTTTCTCTGACCTGAGGGGCTCAGAATCAGTCATCTCTTTATCGGGAAGGTTTGGAGACTTCCCTTCGATGAAGGCTTCACTCGCAAACATGCTTGAAAGTTTTTGAGCGAGGCCTGGTGTTTTTGCAGAGCCCTCGGGCGGACTCTCGCGTTGTCTAACATTGAGTTGGGGAGTTTTTTTCGAACAGGTGGCATGATAAAAATGCCAGTGACTTAGCTTACAGATCGAAATCAATTCATTCGATATCTTGATTTAGTCTCACTGTGATTTCACTAGGAATCCATCATACTTAAAGAAGGGAAGACAAATTTTGTTCCCTTTGCTTGCTGCTAGTCTAGTATACGCGTAAGCTGAAACATATTGCTCCATGCTTTAATTTGAAGCTAGAGAATACATTCCCATATGCTAAGTTACTCGATTTAATCGAAACTAATCTGCATATCTGCGTATATTCGCATCAAACTTCCTGCTACATGACATGAATTTGTAACTCGACCCCGAGTTTTAGTGATAGAATCTGGATTGGATTGCATAACTATGATGAAAAGTTTCCTCCAACTCTGAAATTTCCCACAAATTTTTTCATGCGGACCACATTTCTAATAGTTTTTTAGCTTTTCAGTTATATTGCAGATTTCGGACAGCAACATGGGATAAGCATTTGAAGCTAGACAAAATACCTTTCTGTAGCATCCTAATTGCTAAATTATATTAGTTGAAAAGAATTTGGTCTCTGCTTGTGACCTTGTTTTGACAAGAATTTACTGTGTGCTTTTGATATATTTAACGAGCACAAAGCAAAGCTTGGTTTGGTCGAAAATTGACCAAGATAAGCTGGTAAAGTTTTTTTACGATAAACTTTTCCAAAAACCTGTGATGAAATTGTTTCGTGGAATTTTCATACGCAGGGTCTTTCTTATTTTATCATCAGTCTGAGGGACTATTCGATTCCTGTTCGATCTTTGCAATCGTCTTTCCAATTTCTTACACATATATCACGCTCCTCAGCTTCTTCCTTGTATAAATCGATGTCATCTTCCCCTATTTCACTTGTGTTGTCCCATAAATCATCTGCTTCCGTTATTTCGGCAGATGGAGTTGGGATGGCCCAGATATTTTCTCGCAATCTTTTGTGCCTTTCACGGTCTTCTTCTATTCGCTGTTCGGCCACCTTACGATCTACTTTTTGAGGTGGAATGGCACGAGGGATAGGTTTTGGTTGGGTTTGAACAAGTTGAGGCGAGGAAAGAACATGCTCTGTAGCAGTCAGTTCACGTTCTTTAAGCAGCTCTTCGATTTCCGTGACAGTATGTGTTTGGAGGTGTTCTTTAACTCTTAATGCATGAAGAACCTGTTAAGATTAGCTTGCCAAACTATGCTTTTATTTCAAAGACACTACGACCTTTCGTACCACTTTAACATTCGCAGCTCCAGTACCATCCTCTGGAGCAACAGCATCTACTATTCGTACCATATCTCTTTGTACCATTCTGACGTAGTCGGCATGCTTCTCTTTCCGCGCCATATCGCAAAGGTGCTCTATAAAATACATAATATTGGCTTTATTATTCATTGTATTACGTGGCTAAATTTTTGAACTAGTCAGCCGTGTAAATATTTTTGTACATAAATTGCAGCAGTGATGAATATCTTTTTTTTGTAAAACTCACCATCTCTAGCTGTTCTATGATACAGCTGTGTAGATCTTCGTCCATGTCCCGATATTTTAGAGCATATTGAGCGGCCTTTGTAGCGCTCATAACACTAGCATTGAGGTTGACTATGAGTCCTGTGAAGCGAATACGCACCTCGAAAGGATCCATTTTGCAATCAGACCTTTCAAGCACTTTAACGATTACTATCGTGATGACTGTTTTAGGTTCCAGAGCAAAACGAACTCCTTGAATGTTTTTTATGACCCTCCTTAAGTATGTTAGCGGCTAATTTAATCTCTGATTTGTTGGCAAAGCAAGAGTTAGCTAACCAAAATGTCAGTGTTGATGCCAAAATTTGGAAAAAGCAAATCGAAGTTGGGATCCTGTCAAGTACATGATGGTGCTAAGTGGTATGTCGAAATGTCTGTGGCCTGGTGGTGCCATGGTAGACCAGGTGCTATATATATACGTCTCAGTCCGCAGAGCCTGCATTCATGGTGTGTTTTGACATCAGTACATCCATCCTAAATAGTCCTAAGTCCAACCTGCAACTGCGTCATGAATTCCAGGCTGCCAGCCTTGAAAAAGAACCGAATATACGTCAATCTAGGCCATACTTATTGACTGATGATGACTAAATTCCCCTTCTAAAAAAGCGACTTCACGACATGAAGAATTTCTTGGCATTAAGTATGATGAGTTACTCGACTGATGGTCAAGACTGAACATCTGTACGCGGTGTTTTCTACGAACCTAGGAGTGAAACATTCTCTCAGAGCCAAGTTCAGTTAAATTTCGCAATACCAAACAAGTTGGCCCTCGAGGCAATGAATCAAACAACTCTACCACGACAAATTTTCACTCCTAAAGGGATAGATTCCTCCCGAAGCCGCATCAAATCTGCAAGCACGCCCGGATCCATCCTCAATCCAATGCCCACACCTCTCGTCGATTATTCTCTCGCCTCAGCTGGTCACCAAATATACCCCCACGCCGATATTTATACCCGCGGAAGGAAGCAAAGCGTGGAGCACAAATCTGGGAGACAGCTCTTTCGGATGGACATGAGAGAGATCAGGACAAGTTTACATAGTACCATCCAGGATGGTTACAATCTCGATGGGCATGAAGTTTTAAATTTGACCAAGGGGTTTACGAATTGAGCTTTGTGCGCGCCAAGACTTCGCTTGTGAGAGTGCAGCTGACACAATAAAAACAAGCCAACGATGGAAGGTGCAATGGTCGGTCTCCTAGTATTCTTCGGTATATGTGTTTTGTTTATTGTATTACTTAAGTCTATGACTATCTAGCACATTTGGCTCCTCTCTGACCCAGGCTATACCTTGTACAGTGCTCCTATCCTCTTTTGTTACTTGTAAGATCATTGATATATTCCCCTTGATGAATAGCCATTCAGCTCAGTATTTACCCGTGGAATTCAGCCACCTTTTCCACGGAACCTTCTACCCAAAAAAAAATGGTAGCAATGGAAACTGCGTGCGCGGGAAAAAGTCCCAAAAACCTGCAGCCCCAGCCAGGCGAGGCCTAGACACCGGGACCACATGAGGTGCGCATGTTCATCTATATCTCCCTTCTTTGTAACGTTCGAGGTCGACTTGATCCAATCCACCATCTCCGTATCGGCTGCTGGGTACGCTCCAGAAACATATCGGATGGCATTTCCTCCCTGATCAAGGGTGGGTGATGAGAAGGGCTACGACCCTACCATCTGATCTGGTCGTGGTTAGCTTCATGATAGTGGTGATAGGGGAATGTGTTGAGAGATGAAGACGATACAGACCGCTAAATCGATTGGGAATCCTCGTCGGAGGGAGGAATTTGTTATTCAATCTCGGCTCTGCAGACCCTACACTGAGAGCTGGAGGTTCGTAGAGGACACTACTGACAGGTGTTCAGACTTGCACTCCACATACCCCATTTTCGACAGGAGAAAGCTGGTTCTAATCTAGAAGAGCCCATAAATCACATTCTCTTGTGGTGATATTGAATTTACGGGGTGATGAAAGCAAATTAGGATAATTATGAGTCATGATATTTTCACGCTTTTCCTTGTGGTGGGTATGCACGGAGTGATGGTATGCTGTGGTGGTTACCCTCGAGTGGCATCTTTCCTAGCTCACATTTTCAGATACAATGCAGACTCGTTATAGTGATATTCGATAAAAAGATATTTGCGTTGTAAAGATGTCTTCTTCGCGCACGCATCAAGTTCTCATAGTAAATATAACAAATTAACGATCCTCGATATACCAATGTCACCGTCGCCCTTTCATCGTTATGTCGAAAACCTGCCATATGATGTAACTACTGTCATTGGTTGAAGCCTAATTATATTTAGTCCTCTGCACATCATCTTTCTCTCAGTCATCAATAAGTTACGGAACGTCTCCCTACTCTTTTCCAGCTATTCCCACCGACTCGATTCCTCTAATTCGATCCCTAACAAGGGCATCTTAGTTTGGTCATCGCGCCCGTGATGGCCAAATCACAACAACCACCTCCTATGGCCCAGCGCGTTGCGAATGTTCGAGCTACTTGGGTTCAAACCTTTCATAACAAGCTTTGGTCAGCCGTTGAAGAGGCTGACCAACTCACCCAGACTTTAGTGCGCGAGCAAATGGACGCGTTTCTCCCTGCAGTTGCTTCCGGGCACCACATGCAACACAACAGCCAAAGACAACACAAGCCATCGGGATCTTTATCCGAGCCCAGCCGAAGCTTACCAGCACGACCCTCTATTGCTGAAGCAAGGCAACCACAGATTTGGGCATTGACCGCCACTGTCCCTCCGGCGCCGTCTTTATCTCTACCCAACACAACGTCTCGCCCATCTTGTACGCCTGTTTGTTGGAAATTCAGACCCTATATGTCTGAAGTTTCCCTATGATTGGAACAACTAAGATTCTCACACATGACTCACGACCTGACTCACGTCCTAGATGATTGATATCTCCTTTACTGAGCATGTTTGATGCTTGAGACTCGACTAGTGCATGGTATGGTCTGATACCTGTGTAGGCTTTCATCCACCGATCCTGACCCCATACTCATGTTGTATACTGTCGTGTGATTCAATGTTATTGTTAGAGTATGGAACGAGTGATGGATGGTAGCTTGTTTGGATTTGGTCTATCAAGTATACATGTATGTAAGCTGTCTAGGAATTACCAAGATTGTTAAATGACAAGGTGTGTCTGGTTGGTGTAGGAACTTGCCGAGCCAGTCATGGTCAAGCTTAGGAGTCGCGTCAACAACGCTACTCATGCAGATCAGTCGCGTGGAGGAAATTTGTACTTAGTAGTTATTGTCTGTCACTATTATGTAAATAGCACATTATCGCCCCAGCCACGCTACGGATTCCCAGGAAAGCACTCCACCACCTTCTTTCGGCCCGTTCAGGGCACGGAGACTTTGAGAATTACCATGAGAGATTTAACCATACCAGCTACTCACCGTGCATTTGTGGGCGAGCAAAGTCCCCTATTCATTTTTTTTTTCTGCCGCTTGAAAAGAGCGACAGTAAGAAGATATACTGGAAAACTTAGAACTCAAGAGGCAATAAATTGGCTATTAGGCACAGAGGAAGGGGCGGTGGCATACTCTAGTATCATAAATGGAATGTAGTCTCCTCTGGGGAAATAAATGTAGGGACCGAAGTATTGCATAAGATTGCGATACTGGACTGGATTGTAATTAGTGCAGAACTGCTAGAAAATTTCGCTGCGGGCTTAGCTCGACAGCGCGTCCTTCGCCCCTAGGGAGGTTTTTGGAGACTATCGGAAGATAGTTTCGCCGCGGACGTTAAATGCTAAAATAAAATAAAATAAATAAATAGCACATTATCGCTTCTCATTCTATCTGACCTCCTTCCACTGTGATAATTCTATTGTCTTCTCTACAGCTATACAGCTATAGAAGGCCTCCTAATTTAATAGGTTATGACCACCGGTTTGCCACATAATCTCCCGATTCATATCATTATTATTCTATTCATAAATCGCGCCCATATTCTTTGAGCCGCCTTACACATCGAATCCATACCGATTTTCCAATACTGTTCCGGAAAAAGCTGCAATCACCAAGGGCCCAAAAGCTATCTTCCGCCTCTCTGAGGAAGCTCCACTCCTCAGAGCAGACACAACTACAGTCAAGTCTGCTTTCATTCAAATTGTTCCCTGACTTAAGGATGGAATTGCCTCCGTTTCTCGCTGCTCAAATAGTTTCTTTGTCGCTTTCTCTTCCGATGCATCTCTGAAAATTGCGATGGAAAGTGCTGACTCCATAAAGGCGTCTCTTTCACGTTCTCTAATTCAACTTTAGGACCGCATTGGGTACGTTGTTAAGCGTATCCCACGCACTATCTAGAATCCGGTCTCCAATCTAGTTCCCACCACGCTTGATGACGTTAAGAGAATCACACAGGTACAGACAGGCGTCGCTCCTTCTAGCGCCCAATGATCTTTACACGAAGATCGCCATGATTCCCTGCACACGGCGGTTATTTTCTTCCTAAAAGAGGTGTCCAATTTTCGAATCGTTGATAGCGCTCCTTCACGACGCTATATCCCTAACCAGAAGTTCATCCAGTGCGATGCTTGCTTTAGGCTTCATCGATCCTCTCGCCGCCGAACTCAGGCGTTGTGCGCTTGTTGCGGTGCCTTTTGCCACCAAGGAAAATGACGCTAGATTTGTCGGTGCATTAACTGCATGGGGCCGCATTCTGTAGATGACTCTAACTGTCCTCTCTACCCTCGCCCTTTCAAGGGCAAGCTTATTCATCCTTTAGAGAAAGTGATTACGGAACCCTGTTCACGTAACCGTAATAATCTTCAGAAAGAGCGTCGCGTAGAGGCTGCCAACTCCGCAGCCTTCAACTCTCCTGGCAGCTTCGGCGCACCAAATATCTCGACGGAAGCCCCCTCTGTCCCTCCTCAACGCAAGCCTTCTGCTTTGAATGGGTCCATAGAAGTATAACTAGACCAGCAAGTCTCCCACGATTTCACTATTAGTACTTCCCATGAGCCATAGTGTCTATTTCAGGAGCACCCCCACGCCTCGTCTCCGTTTCCTCCAAGCAAACGTTGGGCGTGGTGGATCTTTTCACCTCATTCTTCTACAAGCTGCATTCAGGGAAGATATGACGTGAT